TAAGACATATTCCAATGACAACAGAGATTTCATATTCATATGTGAGAGGGTATAAGAAATGGACAAATTAATGAAGCGAAAAGAAAGGACGGGAGGAGTGCCTGCATCCGCTGGTAAGAGAGGAATTGGACGCACATCCCAGCGGGGACCATCCTTTCGCTTTTCCTGTTGATCAGAGAGCTCACGAAGTGAAAGATTTCAAAACGGAACTCACCCTACGTGGTGCAGCGAAATTCAAATGATACAAATGAGCTTACTCTGGAGTAGAACTCCTCAGAGAGAGAGCACAGCTCCGGAGTGTGGTCTCGCGGCGCGAGGGGATGGAGTGGACAGGGAGCGAAAGGTCCGTGTGGAAGGTGTGCCGCTGACGGTGGGAGACACAGAGGGGAGGTGTGTGCAGAGACTGCAGTAGCTCACGAGTGCTCGGCCCTGACACGGAGAACCAGAACGGAACGGGCGATTGCAGCTATGTTGGTCTATCACACTCAACTACAAACACCTGCTTTTCTGTGAAAGACATTTCTGAGTATTTACTGACAGAAGTGATGGTATGGGGAAAGCCACATGATGTAAGCGAGATTTGAATGACATGTGGTTTAACTCAGGGCAACAGCTGACCAGTTAAAATGAATTTCCCACTCAAATGTGTCTTCCACTTCAGGGTCCTTCGGAAAAAAATGTCTAAAATGCATTACGACTGCTCACGGGGGTGACACATGGTCTTATGTTCCCGACTCTGATTTAATCTGTGAATGCACTGGTATTTGACTTGGTTAGGACAGAATATTTAAACTTAAAAAAGTACCTTAATTTGTTTATGCAAAAGCCTATTAAGATGCTCCCAGGGGCGCCTGTTCTGTTTACTCTCTAGAATATAACCCATCTTTGAAGTGGTGCATTCGTTTTTTGGGAAGTCGTTCCCAAGCTGAAAAATTAGACCGAAAACAAAGCTATTCACAGAGTTCATGCCACATACAATGCTGTGCACATGATGCTTTGATTCCAATAATGCTCTTATAAAACTCCCTTATTGTTTGAGGTCTATAGTCGGAGTGGCAGCTTTTGTTTTTTGATGAGTCTTCCATCCTGAAACAACCACCCCCCCTCTCAACCCCTCCCCCGCCAATTAAACCAGAATTAGGAGCACATTTCTATCTGCCGAGGCTTAAACTCAACCCAACCGCCCGCCTCAGAAGCAAAGGCCCCCAGTGGCTGTGCTCATTTCTCTCTGCGTAGAGACTCCAGAGAAAACGGAATTAATTCCCTTCTGTTTCCCTGGAAGAGGAAGGTTTTTTTTGTTGCTTTGATCTGAGCATGTTGTGCATTTTTTATTGGCTGTTGAATATAGAAAGCCAGAGCCTCATCTGGTGTGTCTGCTGCATTCTCATATTGTAAATCACACAATGCCTCCCAATCTAAAGTGAAACGCCCAGGCCCCAAATGCCATTTCAAAATCAATTCGTCATTGCAGTTGATTGAAAGATTTCCAGGGTATAAGAAAACTAGCCAGGGTTTGATTCATATGCCTCAGATTGCTAGAAATATATCCATGCACGTTATGCCACCAATCCAGGATGGAGACATCCACTCATGCTATTTTAGATCCCTCTTCCTGTCGTGGTGGGGTCTGCTACAGCGGATGGAGCAGCTGGCTGGGTTATTGCTTCTATAATCTGATCCATAATGCAAAAGCAGCTCTTTCCCAAACATTTTAGAGTAACCCGAGTTGTTCACATGTCTCTATGAGGTAATTTTCCTATAACTTTGTGCCAATTGGTGTCATACTATTTGGTAAAAGTCTTCATTAAATCAAGGCAACTGCATTTAGTTAAATCTCTCCCCTATGGAGAATTATAGGAAAATTACAGTTAGCTGATTCAAGGCTGTCCTCATGAAGTAAATACAGTGTTTTAGAACATGAATGCAAACTACAGAAATGGAGTGGTATAATTAAACATCAAGTAGTCCAAGTGATAGAAGTCATAGATTAATTGTCTCTCGGTTCTGGTCAGATCCTTTAAATACTGTCTCACCACCTGAGCGCTGGTTCTTTCATCGGAAGAGTGCCTGTCCTTGAAGTTGGGGAATTTCAGCTCTTTGGGGGCACCGATCAGCTGTAGAAAGTAATTGGCATCTTCTTCCAAAGTTTCAAATTTCCCGACAAAATCGTAGTTGATCAGACACGGGTAGCAGAGCTTGCTGACCTTCTCCCAGTGAATGTCCATTCCTACCGGACGGTGGGAATCCAGTAAATAGTGAACGAACTCCTTGAATTTGACTCCAGAGCCATTATTGAAGGCTTTTTCACAGGCATTTGGCCGGTATTTCTTTATAATTGCTTTCCCAAATACCGGATGGTAATAACTATTGGGGTGTTCAAATTTGTCCCTGAAGGCTGACACTAACCTCTCCATGGGGTCACGAACAAACACGGCTTTGGTGTAGGTATTCAAACGAGTGTGTATCCCTTTTAGGTCAAAGCTGTCCAGTTTTCTCAAATGCTTCCCGTAGTGGACGGCGTCATGGGAGATGTTGTAGGCCGAGGGAGCCAAACCATTCAGGACCATCAGAATCCTTTTCCAGTTGGAGCAGCCAGCCTTCGGCACTTCACAATATAAGACTTTGTGTTTATCTTCCACATAGATCCTGGACACCATGTGGAAGAGATGCGACTGAGGATGGCTCCCTCCACCGTATTTCCTGCAAAACTCCTGCAGGAAAGACCTGCGCTTCTCTTGGGTTGCATCCGCCTCCCTCCATGTGTTGTCCTTGACTAAGCTTTTGTTCAGAGGGCGAGTGTCCAGTGGCCAGCTCATTCCTCTGAACGTCTTGGAAAGGGTCTTAGTTCCTTGATGTTTTTCCATCAGCTTAATGGTTGGTGACTCTGTGGTCTTGCCCGAAGGGTGACCTTCTCCTTGTGAGGGACTGGTCTCCCTTAAGACCCTACTAAACCTCTCAGGGTTAAGTAGAGGATTTTCCTTTTTTTCCTTGGAACCCTCAGGCATGTGGAACTTGGGGTTCTGTTAAAATAAAGAAGAAACATTGAAAGCACATTCACAAATGTGGGTATAGTGATAAGAAAGTTGACATTTATTTTAAAATACTTTCAGGGAGAGAACCTCATATAAGCTAGTAGAACAATTTAGCGAAGCATGCCAAAGGTACATATTGTAGTAAGCTTCTTCACAGAAAACATAACAATAAAAAATGGTATCCAAAATGATTCATTTTGAATAAAAAATTCATATTATATATATAGGCTATGTATATGTTATTATTCATTTGGCACTAATGTGCTACCTTACACTAATAGATTTTCTCATGCTCAATTATCTGAAAATTATTGGGATCAAAACATAGTTATTGACTTGAATCTATGTCCATAGTAAGTTCATTATTGTTTTTGTGCTATCCTTGCATCTATGGCTATCAATTATATAACCGTACAAAATGCCCCAAAAATGGTATCCACAAGATGGAAAGAAAAGGGCCCTGAATATTTATCTTAGCTTTGCCTGTAACACAATACAATGTAGTTCAATCATTCTGTAGGTCAATGGCTCTTGAGAGCGTGCGGAATGTGCTATTTTCCAGCATTGATTTAGTTAGTCCCCCTGAATGTCGATACAAAATGTAGTTGTATTTGGTTGAAAATTGTTGTTGTTTTGGGGCATTTTGTAATAATAGTTTAAAGTCATAAAGTAAAACTTAAAATTGTAGCAAGGCTAATTATAAAGTTCTGATAACCACTTTAGTTTTCCAAGGACTTACACAGAGTATTTCCCCCCCTTGGAAAAGGCTTTATTTTTATAAATTCATGTATCACAATAATTTAAGAACTATAGTCATACTAGAATACAATTTCATTCATGTATGAGACCTTCCCTCTTCCCCAAGTGAAGAATGACTAGGGAATCCAGAAAAGGCTACTTGATGTCCTCCTCTGTATCAAAAACAGGATTAGAACTTAGTTCTCTGGTCGGTAGGATGAGCCAGCCCATCTGCCCTCTGCTCTTCATCTGACTGCATCCTACACCTTTCACAGTGACGGGGTAGAGACAGACATGGGAGGAGGGATCTACAAGGCGGTATCCTCCAATAGGGACGGAAAGGATAAGGACTTTGGCTTCTACTCTGGTAGACTAGGTCGAGTTTGGAGAGCAGAGACATAACATGATCTCACTTAGATTTGAAAAGAGTGCTTGAGGAGGAGACGAGAAGACTGGAGGGGAGACACACATATGGGGTTGTCAGCATGTTATTGGGAAAAAAATTAATGAGTTAACGATGTGCTGTGGCAATAATGCATGGGCTCACCAGCCTAAAGGTGTGTGTGTGTTGCGGGGGAGTGTAGAGGAAAATTTCCCAGGGGAAATGTGTATATATAGGGAGATAGAGATATAATATTTTCCATTTTATCCCAAAGTGTCCAGAATGGTCTATAACCTATAGCAATTGCTCAAGACCAGTGGTCGGCAAACTGCGGCTCGCGAGCCACATGCGGCTCTTTGGCCCCTTGAGTGTGGCTCTTCCACAAAATACCATGTGCGGGCGCGCACGTACAGTGTGTAGTTGACTTAAAACTTTAAGTAAAGTTTATTAAGTTAATTTTAGGGAACATTGTGGAGTGAAAGAAGATATAGTGTCGAGGATTGAGAAAGGCATGTTGAGATGGTTTGGACATATAGAGAGGATGAACGAAAGGAGATAGACGAAACAAGTATTCGAGAGGAGTGTGGATGGGAGAGTTGAAAGGGGTCGACCTCCGCGAACGTACCTCAATCAGATTGAGGATGTTTTTAGCAAAGGCCAGCTTAGGAGCACCCTAATTAAGTTAATAACAATGTACCTACCTATATAGTTTAAGTTTAAAAAATTTGGCTCTCAAAAGAAATTTCAATCATTGTACTGTTGATATTTGCCTCTGTTGACTAATGAGTTTGCCGACCACTGGTCTAGACTATCTGTTCAATGAACAAATGAAAGAATGAATGGACTTAGGTGTTCAAAGATGGTTAGGCGTTTTCTAGCATATTGAGCCAAAGAGCTGAGGAATGAATCACGGGGGGTGGGAGTCACCTCCAGGCACCATGGTCCTTCCACTAGCTGAGCTTCATATGAGGAACCCCTGATCCCCACACACCAGCCTGGGGAACCCCATAACACAGCTGCCAGAATGTTTAACTAAAACCATTCGTCTGCTGTCTGCCCAGCGGCTGCCGGGACGACGTCAAGACTCCGAATCCATCTTTACTCTGACCAATGACTCCTGGGCCATCACGTGTTCACAGATAATAGAAACTGTGACTTGAGGTTTGGAAGGTCAGGGGGCTATTGGTAGAGGGCTTGGGCAGGACTCAGCCCAGGCCTGCAATGAAAATGCCACTACATTTCTGCTATCCTCCAGCTACTAGAACTAGAAAGAATAACTGCTATTATTATTGTTTTAATAGTAATTATAATTATCCACCGTAATTTATGTGCCCCTGATGACTCTAACAAAAACAAAAAAATCAACCATCCACTGTGCGCTCTGGGCCTTCTGCTTGGGGTCATCACACTCCCCTTCCATCCGCAGGACCTGCGGCCTGTCAGCGTCCCCCGAGGTGCGTTCTCCAGGTGAAAGCTGGCTGCCCTCCGCCCCCCCCCCCTCCCCGCCTGGGCTCTGCCTCCCTGGCACTTTCTCAGTGGACGGAACCTCGCTTACTCGAACCCCTCGTTCCTCAGGCCAGCAGACAGGAGGCTCTTTCCTGCTACTCAACCGCTGCCTCCAGGATGGCTCCTCCGGCCTAACCTCCGGCTTCTGTGAGGCACACACTTCTGGACGGCCAGCCTTGACCCTCCTTACACTGGCATCTGCCTTTGTCCTTGATGCTTCCACCTCACGCTCTGAAGACCTTGGCTCCTCGCTCAGATTTTGTGCCTTCACCCCACTTTCATCAGCCTGGGCAGTGACTCTGAGCCCCAGTAAACCCTGGTTCCTTGACCACCTCACCTTTCACAGCAGCGCTCTCTGCTTCACAGGGACTGCGCCACAGCCAGAGCCTGCGCCACCCCCACGATCCCCTGACCGCCGCCGTCTAACCGTCTAACCGTCCGCTCACTGTTACTTCCAGCTCCGCAGTGCTGTGCCCACGTTCCATGATGGTACCCCAGCTCGCAGCAGCCAGCAGGCCTGGCTCTGGCCCCTTAGGTCTCAGAAAGTCCCCTGGATAAGGAAGTGTTTCCAGCTCACCTTGACTACATTCTTTCCCTCTGAGATTTGCTCCCACAGAACTCTGATCTGCCCCCACAGCACTTATGAAATGTGAAATAATTTCATGTACTTCCATGCTGCCTTTCCCCACTCCCTCCCACCTCTCTGCACTAGAATACGACGACAGAGGCCTTATCCTTCTTGCGCTCTGCTGGCTCTCTGGTCCCTAGCACAGTGCCTGGCACATAGAAGATGATCAATAAACAGCTGGCGAAGGAGTCAATGTGATTATGATGTAACGATGGGCTTCCACACAGTCATTGTATGACCTTGTCAAAGACCAACAGTGCTAATCAAAAGGTCAAGATTAACTCAGGGAAATAATTTACCAATTCTTGTTAAGGTGCCGAAAATCTATGTTCAAACAAATCCTTGGCAGGAGGGAAGCAGATAACAGGCCCGGGTGGAGGTGGAAAAGTGGGCGCAGTGGGCGGAACCTCACCTGCGGCCAAACCAGCCTGGGTCAGTCGCTCTGTGCTGCCTCGGAGCCCTGGAGGCTCGCCCTCAGGCCAGGCTCCCAGGCCTCGCTGTGGGCACCCCGACCAGGATCTCGGGGCTCGGGCACCCGGCTCTAATTTAGACAAGCTCCCCAGCTGTTCCCCAGGCAGTAATGGTACTTGGGGACCACTGAGCTAGAGTAGAGCAAAGGAAAAGAAAAAACAAAGAAAAGCTCATCTCGTGACATCCAGGTGAGAGAGGCGTCAGGGATGGTGGCCGTGACTGCTCAGTCAGCAGCCTCAGGCTCGGTGAGCCGCGGCAGGGGTGTCCCATCACTAAATACCCTTCCCATCTGTCCGTCCCCTGCGCCCTGTCCCACAGGCCACTCTCTAACGCCTGCTTGGGCTAGAGAGAGGACTGCAGGAGAGAAAGGTTCATTGCGCCTAAATCAGACTTCCGTCTCCTGTTGGCTTATTTAGCAGGAGTCAGTTTCCTCTGCTCTGAGCAAACCAAGATGTGGGCAAAGTAACAACACCCATGAGGCTTCCTATTGGATGCCCATTAGACCTTCTCATAGCAACCGCTTATCCTGTCAGCGCTCACCGTGTAACAACCATTATTAGGCCGTGGTGACACCTCTCCCCACCCATCTGCCTTCCAATCACAGCAGAGGTTCTCCGAGATGGAGGAGTCTGGACGAAGAGAATCAAGGTTAATGGGATTTTAAATTTGAGGCTTATACCACTGAGTTTCCACCCTCACCATCATAGTAATATCAGTAAGCACAGTAATCATAACACTTTTCCCCTCAAAAAATTAAAAATGGAACTTCCATTTGGCCCACTGATCCTACTTCTAGGAATATATACTAAGAAACCCCAAACACCAATCAGAAAGGATATATGCACCCCTATGTTCACAGCAGTGCAATTTATAATAGCTAAGACTTGGAAACAGCCTAAGTGCCCCTCAGTAGATGAGTGGATAAAAAAGCTGTGGTACATCTACACAATGGAATACTATGCAGCTATAAAAAAGGAGGATTCCTTATCCTTTGAGACAGCATGGCGGGACTTGGAGAATACTATGTTAAGTGAAATAAGCCAGTCAGAGAAAAACAAGTATCACATGATCTCACTCATAGGTGGAATCTAATGAACAAAATAAACGGATGAACGGAGTGGATCGAGAGATAGGGAAGCAGGGAACAGATTGACTCATCTCAGAAGGAAGGCGGGGGAGGGGGGCAGGAAGGATTAACAAAGAACTTGTATGCATGTATGCATACACCATGGACACAGACGACAGTGTGGTAAAGGC